TTGTTGTTGTTGTTGTTGTTATTTTGGTCTCTAAACCATTTATTTCTCCCGAGCAAGAGATGGGAGTCCCTGGAAGCAGGGTGCGAAAATATTGCAGGCCCGTGGGTCTCCAGGGTTGATGAAGATGGGTCCTGGCTGCATGGCCTAGAGTGGCCCTCAGGCAAAGGTGGAGCTGTTGGTGGGGTTTTTAGTGCTGTAGATGATATAGACCCTCTCTGGGTGCTATAGGCCAGCAGGCCACACAGCAGCTTGCTGTAGGGAGGGTTCTGCATGCTGCCAATCTTGCGGGTGCTATGCTGGCTGTAGAGTGCACAGGGCTTTCTTGAGCCATGGGGAGACCATGAGCTGCTCTAGAATCACATGTACTTTGATGTACAAGGCTGACTTGCCAGTGGCGTTTACCAGCTGCTGGATGAACTCAGAGAGGAGCCCGTTAGGCACCTAGACGAGAAACATGTCAATGTTCACCATGAATATCCCCGTGCTGGTAGAGGGACGGTGAGGACTAGGGCACAGGAGCCGACCCAGGTGTGTGACTGTAGCTGGGCAACCCCAGGAAGGATGCTTTAACTTGTAAAAGGCAACCAATTGATGGCTGAGAATCAATCCTTAGCATTGCAATATCTGGAGACCTATTTAGGATGTTCAGGAACTATTATCTTCTTCTACATAAGTAAAAGGGTCAACTATATGCCAGGCCCTGAGAATACAAAGTGAAAAGGCATCATCTGAGCCCTCAGATTGCTTTGTCTGGTTGGAAATCAGATACTTAGATACTTCTAATGGAGGTATATATAAAGAACACAGAGGACAGAGTAATACCTGAGGGAGATATGAAAGACTTCATAGAATTTGTTCTTATCAGAAATAAGATTTTGGGAGCCCAGGAGGAGGACAAGCTGAGAAAACTATGATTCTTGACTTTGGAGACCCAAGAAAGCATGCTTTTGGGGAAAACCAACAAAGAACAAAGTGAAGAGTAAGTGAAAGCAGTGGACAGAAATGGAAGATGAACTTGAATAAGAGCAGGTCAGACTATAAAGAGCCTTGACTGCCATGCTGGAACAATACTACTTACTATTGGGTTGGCCAAAAATTCATTACATGTTTTCCATAAAATAAAAGACACATTTTTTCATTTTCACCAATAACTATTGATTTGGATATTTTGAATATGTCGGCTATCTTCCTTGTGGTATGACATTGATTGTTCTCAATTAATGTCTTGATTTGATCACTATGAACTTCAACTGGTCTACCAAACTGTGGAGCATCATCCAGCGAGAAATCTCCAGCATGAAATTTTGCAAACCACTTTTGACATGTTCAGTCACAGCACCTCCATAGATCCTTTTTTTTTGCATTTCAGTTGCATTTTTACCTTTCTTGAAATAATAAACCATAATATGCCAAAAATATTGTGTATTTTCAATATTAAAGTAGCTACACAAAACTTACCAATTTGATTTTTAAATTTATTTTATTTTTTAAAGATTTTATTTATTTTTAGAGAGGGGGTGAGGGAAGAGGGAGAGAACAGCAAAGTGTGGTTACCTCTCACACGCCCCCTACTGGGGACCTGGCCCTTATCCCAGGCATGTGCCCTGACCTGGGAATTGAAACAGCAACACTTTCAGTTCACAGACTGGTGCTCAATCCACTGAGCCACATCAGCCAGGGCTGTTTGTTTGTTTGTTTGTTTGTTTGTATTTTAATGCACACTGATAGGACAGCTGTTACAATGCAATCTAACACAATTATTTTGAGTTAAGTTAACTAAGTGCTACTGGAGCCATTTTATGCAAAAAAATGAACTGTTTGGTTAACCAAATACATGTGAATCTTTCATACAACAAGTCATAATGTGTGTTGTTTTTTAAGATTTTATTTCTTTTTAGAGAGAGGGGAAAGGAGGTAGAAATAGAGGGAGAGAAACATCAATGTGTGGTTGCCTCTCATGTGGCTCCATTAGGGACTGGGCCCACAACTCAGGCACATGCCCTGACTGGGAATCAAACTGGTGACCCTTTGGTTCAAAGCCCATGCTCAATCCACTGAGCTACACCAGCTAGGGCTGTGATTTGTGTTTTTACGAGTAGGTTTTACAGCAAAACAATTCTCAAATGATCCATATTGCTTTTTAAACAGTCATTAGGAGGAGTTATTTAAATAATTTGCAAGAACTTGAAATACATTTATTAATTTTGTGTGTGTGTATGTTCTAAAGAAAATTGGTTCAGATTTTCACAGGTGAAATGAACTAGATGGATTATGTCCATTTGCTTTCAGGGACCATCAATTAGCTTGTGTTGAGGACATCCTTCACTGGCCAAGTTCTAAATTCTGTCTTGGAGATGCAAAGAGAGAGTATTGTGAAAAGGATGATGGCTCTTGAATTTCGAGTGGAAATCTAAGCCTTTTCTCCAGGACCTGGGATAAAATCAAACATGAGTTCCCTTTTTCTGCATAGACTAGCTTATAACCATGGAAAAAACACAATTTTGGAACTAAACAGAACAGTTATAATTTAACTGAGGGATCTAAGCCTCACTTTTCTCATCTGTAAAAGGGATGGCAGTTTCTGAAAATGGTTGAAAGGATTAAGTTAGACAATAAATGTGAAATGTTAAGAGGATTGCTCTACAATGTTAGTCCCCCACCCTAATTCCCAGTTTAGGTGTGGTCTTTTGCTGAATGCACTGAACAGCTGCTAGAGTCTCCAGAGCTTGGTTTACAAAGATGAGTAATGTAGTTTCTTCCCTCCGGGAAGTTTCTTCCCTTTTGGAATTTTCTCTCCAGTTTCTTCCCTTAGTGTTTCTTAAAACTGGTTTAGGAACTAACCACTTTGAAAGAGCTACTTAAAAATGCATACTCTCATGCCCCACCCTGGAGAATCAGATTTATTAGGTATGAGATGGGGTCCAGGAATCTACATTTTTAAAAAAGTAGCGCACAGGATTCTGATACTGTCTGACATATTTTGAGAAGCTTTGATCTAGGGAAAGATGCTATTAATTATAATGTAATGAAATGTTTTATAATAAAAGTATACAAGAGAATGATGCTTTGAACTGTCCTTGAAGTATGGGCAGGAATTTTTTCAGGCTAGAAGGCTACAGTAAATAAAAAAGCGATTAAAAATAGTACGAGCTCAGACCCCTTCTGGGAGGCCATGGGAAAGGACCTCCCTGAGTTGACAGGAAAAAAAACAGGTGGGAAAAGTCGGGGGATGGAAGGAGGCAGAATTTTTTTTATTTTATTAAGCCCTTTTGAAATAAATGGTTATAAATCAAAGGCTTTCTGTGAGACTGTTCTGGGTTGGAGTCTGGAACTACAACTTATTAGCTTTGTCACCTTGGGCAAGTTACCTTCCGGTCTTATTTCTTCACTTATAAAATACATAATATCTCTAACGCTAATGTCTTCCTTATGACGATGACATAAGGAATAAAAAAATGCCCACTTGATCTAGGTACCTAAGATCCCACAATCGCTTCAACTCCTTCAGGCCCTGGCCAAAGCAGTAGAGGTCTCCTTTAGGGCAATCCATACTTTAAAACGTGACAACCTATCATGAAGAGCCGAAATTGTAGATAAGGAAGTTATAACATATAATATAAAGGTGCTAAAAGAGAATGACTTCATCATATTATTAACAAGCCACCCAGGCCACCTCCACCAAAACTGGGATAAAGGAGAGGCAAAACAAGGGGCCTGAAATTCAGGTGCCTAAGGGAAAAAAATCTCCTTTAACTTTTATAGTTGCAAAAAGCAGTCTCTATCCTACTATCTTGTTTTATACATAAACGGTATTTACAATTAAGTGTGCGAGGGAGTAAGTAGCTTATAGGACCTTGACTCCGGGAGGTTGATGCACTTCAACCTCTAAGACAAGCTCTTGAAAATTTAACCCACCCTGGTATTTTTTTTTTCAGAACCCAGCGTTTGCCAGAGTATCACAAAAACCTTTCAAATTGGTCAGTTCAGTACTGATTGATGGTGTGAGCGCCGAGCCAGATTTCGTCGTGCCTGCACCCCCAGGGTTTACTCCCACGTTCAGAGGCATCCGCCTGCCTCTCGGCCCGGCCTGGGAGGGGTGAGACTTGATAAGTACTATTAAGGGTTCTTAACCGAAGACTTAAACGAGCCCTGGTAGCGAGGCATAACTGCGCACCGAATTTCTGGGTCCTGATTCTTGTTGAGCTCGAGGGTTCCAAGGCAGCGTACCACCTATTTACTCTAAAGACGTCCCCTGAGGAGGGCCAATATGGCGACGGGCTTTTCTTGGCACAGCCTAGTTACCTCCCCGTAACAGGCAGTGTTAGTAACGCCCATTGGCCAAGATGGAGGCGGTGTCTAGCTTCCTTCACCCCGTCATTGGATTGAGTGACTGACGGAGACTCCAATTCTCCTCCGCCTACTCTGAATTCCCGCCCTCAAAGTTTATTCGGCGTTTAATTGGCTTCTAGTTCCCGTCAATTTGCGTCTTATCTTGTCACTTTTCAGTGTTAATCCAATCATAACTTTCCTGGCTGCCCGCCTGACTTCTAATAGGTTTTGATCAACCCATTCCTGCCTACTTCTTATCTCTTCCTCCCACCAGGACTTTGCACAGGCACGTCCCGGGTTCTGGTTGGTCGTTGTTGTGTCATTCCAATTAAAGCTCTTCCTATCCCGACTTCTAAGGGAGCCCGCCTGGCGGCTGACTGGCTTTTTCTCCAAGCCTATCACCTCTAGTCCCGCCCACTTTCACTTCCTGCGGCTTTCATTGGGCCTTAAAACTGAGAAGGCGGCCTTTTAGGGCGGACACCGGGCACGCAACTTTGTCTTACACGCCTAAGAGAGTAAGCGAGTCTTGACATTGGATTACCTGACCGCCTTTCTTCTGCAAATCCCGCCTTTCTCCCTCCCTCATTGGGCGGGGCACTAGCAAAGGGGCGGGGCCTAGGCCGGGCTTGTGGCGCGCTGCTCCCTCCTCCTTACCCCCCCCTCCCTGTCCGGTCCGGGTTCGCTTGCCTCGTCAGCGTCCGCGTTTTTCCTGGCCCCCCCCAACCCCCCCGGACAGGACCCCCTTGAGCTCGTCCCTCAGCTGTCACCATGAGCGGTAAGGATGAGTCCACTCCAAGCTTAGGGGTGGTAGGGAATGAGGGGGCGCGCGCGAGGGCCGACCGGGCGGTCCCCGCCGTGAGGGGGGGCGGGCGGGAGGCGGCGGCGGCGGCCTTGGTCCCGCCCGGGGCGGAGGGAAGGGAGGGAGAAGGGGCAGTGGCGGGGCCTCCGAGGAGGAGGGGGATGGGCCGCCCGCCCCGGGGGAGGGGGCAGAGTGGCCTCTCCCGCCCCCTGCCCGCCCCGGCCACCGGGGGACGGGCCTTACCCCCCACTGCTCCACCGCCCGCCTGAGGCTCCTCCCGCCGGGGACTGGAGCCACGGGGGTGGCCCGAGCAGTGCAGGCCCCGCCCGGGCCAACCGCCTCCCTGGTCCGCCCTCTGGTCGCTGCCTGCCCCAGGGCCCTCCGCCCCCACCCCCCCGCCCGTGCTCCCTCCCTAAGTTTCCCCTCTCCCCAGCCGTCCCGCCCTTTCCACGCCCCTCACCCCGAAACCGCCCTTTCCCTCTAGGGTCCGCCCTCAGTCCGCCCTGAAACCTGATTTCTAATCCTTGGACCCCTGGATCCCTTAACCAGTGTTTACAAATGTTTCCCTACTCAACACTTTTTATTTTTTCTTGCTCCTGTTTCTTGTAACTTTTTACATTTGAATTTCTCTTTCTCCATCTCCTTTGACCCTAATATTACTAAGCTTTCTGTCCACCCACATGTTTTTTTGCCTTACCTATCCTCCCCCTCATACTTTCTCTTATTTTGAAACTTTCAGCATGCCCACTGCCTCTAATGTTTTCTATACCCAAAGCATCTTTTCCATGTTTTCTGAGTTTAAGTTGGTGCAAAGGAGAACTGAAGCCCAGTTTTGGCATCACTGAGCCTGTTCACGTCCTACACTTTCTACAACTGTCCCTTCTCCCCCATCCATTCCTCCCCCCCTCCAGTGGCGCCTTTCACCTTCCTGTTAGTCATGTCTTCTGTCATAATCTTCTTATCCTTTTCCTTCCCCCAACTTTAAGATGTTTATTTTTTAATTCTCTTTAGACCAAGATCACTCCATGGATGAAATGACAGCTGTGGTGAAGATTGAGAAAGGAGTTGGTGGCAATAATGGGGGCAATGGTAATGGTGGCAGTGCCTTTTCTCAGGCTCGAAGCAGCAGCACAGGCAGTAGCAGCAGCAGTGGAGGAGGAGGAGGACAGGTAAGTAATGATTAGGATAGACTGGGGAAGGTGTTGAGAGGATGGTTATTTTTTCACAGAATAAGTTTTAGGAAGGGGCTAACTATTTTATAGTTAGGGAAGTGAGTATAGAGAGACAGGTGACTTGGAGATACCCCAAAGATGAGAATTTCAGCAATATAGTTCAGCTTTTTGTTTGATTTTTTACTGTTTACTTGTCTGCACTGTTTTGCAGTTTATTTATTGTATATTGGTCTCTAGGCTGGCAGCTGGATGTCACTAAAGTAATTATTTTCCTCTCATATTTTGGATAGGAATCCCAGCCATCCCCTTTGGCTCTGTTGGCAGCAACTTGCAGCAGAATTGAATCACCTAATGAAAACAGCAACAACTCCCAGGGCCCAAGCCAGTCAGGGGGCACAAGTGAGCTGGACCTCACAGCTACACAACTCTCACAGGGTGCCAATGGCTGGCAGATCATCTCTTCCTCCTCTGGGGCTACTCCTACCTCAAAGGAACAGAGTGGCAGCAGTACCAATGGCAGCAATGGCAATGAGTCTTCCAAGAATCGTACTGTCTCTGGTGGGCAGTATGTTGTGGCTGCCGCCTCCAATTTACAGAACCAGCAAGTCCTTACAGGACTACCTGGTGTGATGCCTAATATTCAGTATCAAGTAATCCCACAGTTCCAGACTGTTGATGGGCAACAGCTGCAATTTGCTGCCACTGGGGCCCAAGTGCAGCAGGATGGTTCTGGTCAAATACAGATCATACCAGGTGCAAACCAACAGATTATCACAAATCGAGGAAGTGGAGGCAACATCATTGCTGCTATGCCAAATCTACTTCAGCAGGCTGTCCCCCTTCAAGGCCTGGCTAATAATGTCCTCTCAGGACAGACTCAGTATGTGACCAATGTACCAGTGGCCCTGAATGGGAATATTACTTTGCTACCTGTTAACAGTGTTTCTGCAGCTACCTTGACTCCTAGCTCTCAGGCAGTCACAATCAGTAGCTCTGGGTCCCAGGAGAGTGGCTCACAGCCCGTCACCTCAGGGACTGCCATCAGTTCTGCCAGTTTGGTGTCATCACAAGCCAGTTCCAGCTCCTTTTTCACCAATGCCAATAGCTATTCAACAACTACTACCACCAGCAACATGGGAATTATGAACTTTACCACCAGCGGATCAGCAGGGACCAGTTCTCAAGGCCAGACATCCCAGAGGGTTAGTGGGCTGCAGGGTTCTGATGCTCTGAACATCCAGCAGAACCAGACATCTGGAGGCTCACTGCAAGCAAGTCAGCAAAAAGAGGGAGAGCAAAACCAGCAGTCTCAGCAACAACAACAAATTCTTATCCAGCCTCAGCTAGTCCAAGGAGGACAGACCCTCCAGGCCCTTCAAGCAGCACCGTTGTCAGGGCAGACCTTTACAACTCAAGCTATCTCCCAGGAAACCCTCCAGAATCTCCAGCTTCAGGCTGTTCCAAACTCTGGTCCCATCATCATCCGGACACCAACAGTGGGGCCCAATGGACAGGTCAGTTGGCAGACTCTTCAGCTGCAGAACCTCCAAGTTCAGAACCCACAGGCCCAGACAATCACCTTGGCCCCAATGCAGGGTGTTTCCCTGGGGCAGACCAGCAGCAGCAATACCACCCTTACACCCATTGCCTCAGCGGCCTCTATCCCCGCGGGCACAGTCACTGTGAATGCTGCTCAACTCTCCTCCATGCCTGGCCTCCAGACTATTAACCTCAGTGCTTTGGGTGCTTCAGGAATCCAGGTGCACCAGCTTCCAAGCCTGCCATTGGCTATAGCAAATGCTCCAGGTAAGGCTTCTAATTTTTTGTGTTTATTTCCAGAGTTAACTAGCACTTCAGCTGAAACCATTCATTCCATAGAAGGGCATAGAACCTTTTGGGGGTAACATGTTCTTGAGGCAAGTCAATTAGAGAAATAGCAATGATTTTATTTAAGTCATTTGAGACCGATTTAATAGAAACTTTTTTCCAGTTACTCTGATGAGAAGGGAGTACTTTCTCTTTTCTTCTAAGGGCAATGTCCCTGGGGTTTCTGTACTTCCAGTGCCTTTAGTACTAGAGAACAAGGATTGCCAAACTCTTCCTTTTTTTATTTTTAAAATTTATTTTAGATAGAAGGAAAAGAAAGAGAAACATTGATTTGTTTTTCCACTTATTTATGCATTCATGGATTGATACTTGTATGTTCCCTGAGCAGGGATCAAACCCACAATCTTGGCATATTGGGATGATGCTCCAACCAACTGAGCTACCCAGCCAGGGCCTCGGCAAACTTTTTCTGTAAAGAGTATGATAGCATGTATTTTAGGCCTAGTGTGGTACATACAGACTCACTCACATATTTTTTGTTGGTGGTGGTGGTTTTTTACAACCTTTTTTTTTTTTTTTTTTTAAATGTAAAACCATCCTTAGCCTGAGAACTTTATTTGGCCTGTAGGGTCTACTCTTACATGAGATAAGAATTGATTATAAACTTGACCTATTTATAGAACAGTTTGTTTATTTTATTTATGAGAGAGGGGGAGGGAGAAAGAGAGGGAAAGAAACATCGATGTGTGAGAGAAAAATCAACTGGTTGCCTCTCATTCCCCCAACCAGGATCCTAGCCTGCATCTCAGGTATGTGTCTGACTGGGAATCGAATCAGCAACCTTTTGGTTTGCAGGATGATACCCAACCCACTGAAGCATGTCAGTTAGGGCTATAGGACAGTTATTAAGTCATAAGGTATTTCTCATGAAGAATTGTAACTCCTAAGTGAGGGGAAATGTGACATAATTGATTCCAGAAGGATTTTTTTTTAACAAAGTAAGTTCTATGGTTAATCTTTAGTTAACCAGAATAGTCTACTCTGAGCAAGCTGGTTACTCAAGGTTTAATTTTTTAAACTCCTGCTTAGTTTAAAAGTTCACCCACCTCCCTTTATAAACTTCCTAGGTGATTCTGATACTTTCTAAATAAGAGAATCAGTTCCAGGACTGCTTTGAAAACAGTGTATGGTTGAGGAAGGAATGGAGTGGAGAGAAAAGGAGTGAGGTCTGGAATGGAGTGGGGAGGTGGTATTGAGAGGAGTTAGGAAAAAGAACATGGAAGGGAAAAAGAGTGTTTGGGAAGAGGTATATCTATTTTCTGAATCAGTTAACCACAATATTCAGTCATTCACACTTTTTTTTTAGGGAGGGAGGGAGAGAGAGGAAACATTAATTTGTTGTTCCATTTTATTTATGCATTCATTGGTTGATTCTTGTGTGTGCCCTGACCAGGGATCGAACCCACAACCTTGGGTGACACTCTATAACCAACTTAGATACTTGGCCAGGGCCTCAGTCATTGACTTTGAACTAAGTTTTATAATTGGTTAATTTGGAATTTAAACCATAGCTATTTAAAAATGTGACAGTCTTTTTTTCTATTTATTGTTTTAAATTTCATTGTAAGGGCCCTGGCTGGTGTGGCTCAGTGGATTGAGTGCCACCCTGCAAACCAAAGCGTCTATGGTTCAATCCCTGGTCAGGGCACATGCCTGGGTTGTGGGCCAGGCCCCCAGTTAGAGGTGCGTGAGAGGCAATCACACATTGATGTACCCCTCCCTCTCTTTCTCCGTCCTTTCCCCTCTCTCTAGAAATAAAAAATAAAAATAAATAAGTTTCATTGTAAGGTAGTTGATCTTTACTAAAACATGATAAAAGGATACATATACTTTTTTCCTACATACACATTTTCATATTCTGATGTGATATATAAAAATTATGGGAAGTTGTTTAATACCGTTGATCTTCTGGTTCTATTTATGTGTGGGCATATGAATTGTTTACTTTTCATTATAACGTTTTCATTCCATTTAGACTGGTTCTTATGTAAGTGAGGATAACAAATAGGCAGCCATATTGCCTTCTACAGTTTTGGAAAATATTGGGGGTCAAGTTCCCTAACTTACTTACATTCTTATGTTGTGTTTAAAATGACATTTTGAGCATTAACAAAACAGTAAGATTCTTAGTGATCATAGACTAGAAAGGTAGAGCTGGAAGGTGTCAGGATATCATCTAACAAACTACTTTTATTTTCTCAATGAGGACATTGAGATACTAAAAAGCACTTAAATGATGAGATTACAGCCAGAATTTGGGCTTGTGGTTAGTTCTAGTCTACAGTATTTCATTACCTGTTAGTATGAAGTCTGGACTTGAGAAATCTTTTAGATTGTTAAAAGTGTGTATCTTTGCTTCTTTGAAAATGTTTCAGAGCTGGCAAGTATTTTATAGGTTAAAAACTATGAGGAAATTTTAATAGAAACTGAAATTAACAGCCTGGAAAATCAGATACTATCTGGCTAAACTACATTAGCATGTTTGTTTTCTCCTTGCTCTGAGGTTGTATCCAGCAGTTTGCTTTTCTTCAAAGGAAAGCAAAGCTGTGGGATTGTTTCCATTAATAATCATTTGGGTCCTTGTAATTTCTGAAAGGTTTATAACTTAAGCTCTAAAGGATAGTTATGAGGTGCTCTCATTGCTAAATCATGCTCTGGGGAAGTCTGCCATTTAATATGTCATGGGATAGTGCTACCTAGCTGTTATTGATGGTCTCTGAGTTCAAGAAAATCCATGTGTTTTTTCAGGTAGCAGCAGCTTGATATTCACTAAAGAGATGATGAGGCACTGAAAGGCCATTTTGTGAGAGTTGAGGTTGTTTGCTTCATTAATAGTGGTTTCTGAAAATACAAGTTTCCTCCTTTTTCGTTAGTCATACTTGTGCAGCATTTTTTCCCCTTCAATTGATCTGACTTCAGTCTAAATGAAAGATAATAAAATTATTTCCTTGAGGCTTATTGCTGTTCAGGTGTTGCTTGGCTGCTACAAAGTGTCTCATTTTACCCTCTTTTCTGGTAATATAGTTATTTTACTAGAAAAACTCAACCTCTTGGCATTAGTAGAATAGATAGATAGCACCTACAACGTGGGACACTGTTGTGAAAGACTGCAGCTCCCATGATGTTCAACTGGTCTGTTTACCTTTATTATTTTTTAAAAATCTTTTTAAAAATTTCTAAGTTCTCTTTTGACTTTCACCCTTGTTTACTTCTGTTTGCTGAATACACAGGCAAAGGTACAAACTTAGAAACAAACCAGTCACTTCTGTATTCCTGTGTTTTTCATGGCTCACCTCTGGTGGGTGGTAGTGAGGAAGGGACCACCCAGTAAACTAGTTTCAAGATAGTGAAATATTTATGGGCTCTTAGTTTTTGTTTTATTTAGGAAGTTATCAGCAACATTTTCTTTTTTTCTTGACACCTTTTCCCCTTTATGAGCATCCTTTCCTCTCATTTTGTAGTTATATTCATAGACCTTGTTTTTGTTTTTTCAGTTAAAGCTTCAGGGTTCCTCCCCTCCCCCCACCCAACAAAGGGGTAAGTCCTGAAAACTCTTACCCTAGGTTGAGTGGGGGCCTACTGAGTTTGTAACTTCGTGGGAGTTCTGCCTAATAAAGAGTGCAGGACAGGGCTTTGGCAAGAGAGCAGAACACATTTCCTCAATGGCTATAATTCACTCAAGAAGCAAATTTCAGGCACTAAAAATAAAAATTTCACATCTGTTTGGTTTTATCAGGGTCAGGAAAATGTCTCCTTAGAAGTTAAGTTGAATGTGATACCAGAGTTGGTTTTGCCAACAGTGTCACTAAACTTGGGGTCAGATTGCTAAGACCTAATTTGTTAAAAACTTGTATTTTAGACTGGTGCATTTGAACATTAGTGGTAAGTAGGTTTAGATAATTTAAATGTGTTCAGAATTATTCTAGTGCAAAAGGTCATAATAGAAAGAATTTTCTATTTTAAAATAATAAAATGTATCAAATATATGTTTCTGCATCATTTGCTTTCTTTATTAAACATTCGTTTCTTAGAGTGACGTTAGTGCTTTTTAAGTGATTTTAAGTAGAAAAGTTCTCCTTTAAAGCCACCCTGTATCTTGATTGATTTGAAAAGATCTTCAGCCCTTTTCAGTTGCTCCTATTTGTTCAATCCGGTGGCTTTCGGTAAATGACGTCATTGTTAAATCACGTTGCATTGTGTAATGTGGCCATTTTAGTTCTTAATTAAATAAGAGCACAAGGGTGCCTGGTGTTTCAGAAAGCTTTAGTATCTGTTCAGTTCTCATATCCCTCTTTCCTTTTAATTGTTTCATTTTGAAATGTAGCATGTAAATGTTACCACTAATAATTTAATTCTGATCATTCTTTGCTTCTAATTGTTTTGTTTGCCCTCCTTAAAAATGTTTTAAACTATAAGATGAACATCTGTAGAAAAGCTTTATGTAAATAATGCATAAGTAATGCTTTGTAAGTTACTGGGTATCTGTAAACAATGCATAATAGTTGAAATTTTCACTTTATTGAAAAACAAGCATATTCTTCATATTTCTTACAGAAGGTATGTCTCAATAGTACTGTCCCTTTCTCTAATATTTAACAGTTATTATACAGATCCTGGTGTTGGGAAGGATTATTTTAAAATTTATTGCCCACACTGTAACTAGATTGTTAATATTATGCGAGGTTTTTAGAATTGTTCTTAGAAGACCCTGAAAAAGTTTCTGTAGATGAGTGTTTTTTAATTGGTTGCAGATCTGGGCTGTAATTTCAATTTATGCTTTTGTTCCAATGTTTTTAAAACTCTGAATGGTTTATGGAAATTGGGCAGTATTGCTTGTTTGACAAGTTTGGATGTCCCTATCTAATTTACCTGAATCTTCCTTCTCAGGTTGTATCTATATACAAAATAAACAATAATTT